TACGCGAAAAGCAAACACACCAACACCCGCCGTAAATCAATAATGAGGGGCACTGACAATACCACATACCCTCTAGGGGTTAATGCTGATTGGTTAACACTCCCCTAATTTGCATAAAAACATAAACATGAAAAACCTAGATACAAGAATATTACAACACGTAAACAAGGAAATTAACTTAAGTAAATTCACACATATATATCAAAACGTTCCACTGTAGAAAAAACAACCTATGATATATATAAGCAAGGGAGCAATAAAAAGTTGTATATAAACTATAATTTAACACACATGTCAAATTATCATACTAACTGTTGTCTATACACTTACAGTATACTAAATGTTGTCTATACACTAACAGTATACTAACTGTTGTCTATACACTAACAGTATACTAACTGTTGTGTATACACTAACATTATACTAACTGTTGTCTATACACTAACAGTATACTAACTGTTGTCTATACACTAACAGTATACTAAATGTTGTCTATACACTAACAGTGTACTAACTGTTGTCTATACACTAACAGTGTTCTAACTGTTGTCTATACACTAACATTATACTAACTGTTAATTATCTATACACTAACAGTGTACTAACTTTAACCTATACACTAACAACATACATACTGTTGTCTATACACTAACCAAGTATGTTTACCAATGTTTTTTTACTAGCTGTATACTAACCATTGTCCCCGCCCCCAAATGACCAGATGTGTTTGCCGTCCTGGGATACAGCCATAGTGTGTGAGCCCCCACAGCTGACCTGGCCTACACTGGAAATCTCGGTCACACGTGTTGGGAAACTTTTGCTGTTACTGCAACCATGACCTGCACAAGAAACACAATTGTCAAATATAATTAAGGACTACTTAAATCAGACATAATGAAGGCCTACCTAAATAAGACATAATGAAGGCCTACCTAAATAAGACATAATGAAGGCCTACCTAAATAAGACATAATGAAGGCCTACCTAAATCAGACATAAAGAAGGCCTACCTAAATCAGACATCACAAGTACTAATTGTAATGGAGGACCATAACAGAAGTCTCCCAAACCCTACGGCTGTGTTTGCAGTGCCATAATAGACCTACATATGAATTTGAGCAAAATTGACCAATATTTAATTTCAACCAATCAGAAGCCTCATGCTGTGTGGTTGCTATGGGAACGATCTGAAAATAAAGACTTTTGTACAATTACATATGCCCATTATTAATCATGTGAAGTTTCGTCAAGATATTTCTTGGTCGAACAAGTTCATGGCGGAAGAAGAAGAAGAAAGAATAATCAAACATAATATATATAATATTAATAAAAAAAATGGCAAACGAGACATCTTCAAAATTCCAACTGTTTTGGATGCAGAACAACTTTTATATTGAAAAAATCTACACGAGTCCTATGAGACATTTTTGCTTTTGGGGTAATTCCATATTTTATCCTAACGTCTGCTCGTCAAATCCTTCGCAGCATCCATTTTTAGAAAGTGTTTATCTTGAACAAGCTTATTCCTTTTATTTTCCCTCCCAGATCAAATGCTCAAACGACCTGATGTCTGGTCATCAATTTTTTCGGCCATTTTTGAAAAGTGACTAATCAACAAAAAGAGTCGGTCTTGAGTTGTTCTGAATAAGAATAATCTATTCCATTTTTCAGTCCGGATCAGTACGGTTTGTTGATTAGTCACTCTCATGTTATTGCATAACATACAAAATGACGTCGCTCAGGGGGTAAATTTCAAATGATTACACCCATTCATTGATGTATGTGAGGTATGTTTTGTCAAAGCAGATTTTTGTTGTCACCACCTCAAAAACGCAGGGCCAGTGACACAGGGATTCGTTACAAATGTCTTAAATACACATATGCTTTACTGACAAAGCCTCGGGTCTCCTGCTCAATATCTTATCCCTTGGGTTTGAATGACCTTATCCATACCTAACATCAGGGATGGATTTTATTAATCTAAACTTGGTCCAAGTGAATCTTCATGCGCTATTTTAGAAAGAACCGTCCTGTAATGTTTGAGAAATAGTCCTGACAATAATTGTTTAAGCATGGATGGAATAACGGACAGACAGATAACAGACCACAGACGAAGGGTGATTTGAAAAGTCCAGTCCATCAATGATTTTGGGCTAAAAATACAGTTGTACTAAACACTTCATCAGGGAAGGGACATCACTCTAACACTGCTTCCTATAAATATTACAAAGGAATACTGAAACAGATACAAATATACTACACATACACACACACACACAGGTATGGTAGATACAAATATACTACATATACACACACAGGTATGGGAGATAGATATCCCGCACACACTGTTATGGNTATACACACACAGGTATAGGAGATAGATATCCCGCACACACTGTTATGGTAGATACAAATATACTACACATACACACACACACAGGTATGGTAGATACAAATATACTATACACACAGGTATGGGAGATACAAATATACTTCACACACACACACAGGTATTGTAGATACAAATATACTACACACACATACAGGTATGGGAGATAGATATCCCACACACACTGGTATGGTAGATACAAATTACAAATATACTATACATACACACACACACAGGTATGGTAGATAAAAATATACTACATACACACACACAGGTATAGGAGATAGATATCCCGCACACACTGTTATGGTAGATGCAAATATACTACACATACACCCACACACACACAGGTATGGGAGATACAAATATACTACACACACACACAAACACACACATGTATGAGAGATAAATATCCCACTCACACTGGTATGGGAGTAAAATCCACAAAACCTTTACTTGGACATTATATTGGTATGTGAGAAAAAACTTACCCAGTCGTCCATAGTCACCCTCACCCCAGGTGTAGAGTTCCCCGTCCTCTGTCACAGCTGCACTGTGTCTGTAACCAGCCGCAACACACTTCACAATCTACAAAATTCACTGATTATAATAACTCAAAACAGATATTTCAATTGCATGGTGTAAACTAAAATCTGGTTTTAAAGAATGTAGTGCATAAAGAATAGACACATATATAGTGTTAAGATAATATATGTGTGAGGTGTATAGGTTTTATAGTGTTAGGATAATATGTGTGTGAGGTGTATAGGTTTTATAGTGTTAGGATAATATATGTGTGAGGTGTATAGAATTTATAGTGTTAGGATAACATATGTGTGAGGTGTATAGAATTTATAATATAAGGAAAACATATGTGTGTGGTGTATAGAATTTATAGTATAAGGAAAATATATGTGTGGGGTGTATATATTTTATAGTGTTTGGATAATATGTGTGAGGTGTATAGGTTTTATAGTGTTAGGATAATTTATGTATAAAGCACCTACCTTTCCTGCCAGTGGTCCGAGAACAATCTTGGGGTATTTCACCGTACAGCTTGAGCCATGACCCAGCTTTCCATAGTCCCCTGACAAAGGAAACAAAAGACATGTGACAGAACGTTCAGCATACGTCTTTCTCCATCATCAAACCTAGTTCAAGTTTATTGTATTTATAGACAATTATATTAAGTGAACATTCAGCACAATTGAATGCGGAAGTGAGAACTATGAAACAGTGAAAATCTAGTTCTCTGTAAGTAACCATTGTAAATCTAGTTCTCTGTAAGTAACCATTGTAAATCTAGTTCTCTGTAAGTAACCATTGTAAATCTAGTTCTCTGTAAGTAACC